CCCCCCCCCCCCAATTATCGTTCTAGCTACGGCCCTGATCTTTCAGTTTCTAAGCCAAATACTGAATATTTAAAAAAAGTTTTGTGTACAGACAGTACAGTGATGCTGTGCTATGGAACAGCCTACCTACGGATCGGAGGCAAAGTTAACAGAACCCTGAACCAGGTTCAAAAACCTGATAAATGCAACAACTGAATCAGACATCAATTATTCTTGATATTTAATTTTTTAAATGTACGTGTGTTCTATTTTAGAGTTTATTTTTATTTATTTTACAATCTTTGTCACATGACCGGTTTAGCCCACAGAGCTAGTTGCTCCTTTACGGGTAACCTGCAGAGTTTATTTAATTAGTAGTAACTTTTTAGACTAATTTTATATTAGAGTGATATTTATGTATATAATTTAATTGTGTGACGCCCCTCATGAAAAACATCTTCGGATGACGAGAGAAGCGCAGATAAATAAAGTTTTATTCTATTAGATTCTTTACACACTTCTCCCGTATTCTCCCAACATTCTCAGCGTGCATTATCACACAATAAACGCACGCGACTCGTTTTCTATTTCTTAATTACTTACCCGTCTAACGGGGCGGCACAACTTATATGAATGGGCTAAAAGAACGATCGTGCACTATGTTTTATGAAACTAATGACAAAACACGATAATTTTATGCTAGTATTTACCCCGCCTAACATCAGTTTAGTTAATTAGCAAGAAACAGCAATATTTTCGATTAAAGTGCAGCTGAAGTCTCTTTCTTTTCGTCAAATCTATTTATCCGTATGGACTCTTTGAACTTTCTCTTTCTTGCCTTTGACTTTTTCAAAACTGACAGATAAATTGCTTCTCTGAAATGTTTGTTTAATAAACAGTGAATAATCGGATTTAAACAGGAATTCAAGAATGTTAGTAGTTTCACAACTGCGTTGAAAACAGGTTCAACCTGTTTAAAAGACGGTCGGTAGCACTGGGGACAAACCATACGGAGAAAGTAATAAAAAGTTGAAGGTGCCCAACATAGGATAAAAGCTCCCAAAACTATCGCCATCGTACACGTAAGATCTCGTTCCCGCTTTGCCAAAATAGCCTGTTTATTCTCATCGGAATTTCTAACGCTTGTATTTCGTCTAATGGCATTAACTGTTGTACCTGTAGTTCTCGCTCGATGTTTCGCGCGGGTAATTTGAATAGCAAAGTAAACTGTGTAGAAGTGGCAGGCAAACATAATAACAAATGGAAAACACACATTTAGTAAAATAACCATCATGCTCCATTCTTTTGAAGGTCGGTAGGTACATAATTCGTCGATGTCTCCGCGCTGCCAAACGAACGGAAGCATGGACACTAGTGTGGCATCGAGCCAGGAGAGCATAAGCGCGGTGACCATCTTTCGTTTAGTTAATAACACTCTATGCCAGATCGGCATTTTAATTGCTATAAACCTCTCGAGACTCACTACGGTTACACTCAATATGGAGGCATACATGGAAAAGAAATATGTGAAACGAAATACATCACATGTAATACCTTCTTCAACACCACCAGCAATGTGCTTCTTGGCAATGTACGCCGGCATTGCGCTGATACCGGATAAAATATCGGCCAGTGCTAGGCTAAGAATTGGATAATAGGAAACACCTCTTATATGCGGTTGACGATAGAAAGCCAAACAGACAAGTCCGTTGCCTAAAATTGTTATAACGATGATGACCACTAAAATAGTGGTAACGTAGATTCCTAGAGTTGTATTTTCGGAGGTGTTTGTCGTTTCTGTGGTTTGAAGACTAATTGGTGAAGACAAACTTGGGACCAACGTTGCGTTCATGATTTCTAGGAAGAAAAGATGAAATTACTTAATTTTAATTTTATGGCATATTAGAAGTAATTTTCTGTGAGTAACGCTGCCAAGTGAAATGATTGAACAACCAATAATGGTATTTCAGTGTATCTATATATGAAATAAAACGCGTGATCACTCTCCTCCGCAGAGCCTTACGAATTTTTAGTAAAATTCCGAAATATTACTTGGGAAACAAATTACGTAATTGTTAGTCAAACGCGCTAGGTTTGATGGGAAGACGGAAACTACGTAAAGTTCTTCGCAAGCTACGTTCTTCGTTACATTTTGTCAACCATCGATCTCACCCCCCCCCCCCCGCACCACTAAATGTCCTCTACTATCCCTACATTATCCCTACAAATCCTATATAATAATTCAGACTCTGCGGAGGAGAGTGACGCGTGATTAACAAAATCCGGCTCGCATGATCGCGAAATGGAGACTTTCAAAATTTTAGAAACGTACATTTTTTTGCATTTTTGTCTTCTTTTAAAGAAAATGAAGAGTGTGGATAAAAAAATAGAAAAAATGGCTAAACGTGGACGAATTAAGGAGTTTGCATTTTTTTCACCAAAACAAGAATATCGTGCAGAAGTCATGAGAAGTTAACAATGAAGGGAAGGTATATTCGTGAATGTCCGAGGCTGACAAGAAAAAAAATGCTAAAAGGCGATTGCAATTTGCTACGAGCAATTTACACAACAATGCATGCCAGAGAATGCATGCAATGTTGTTACGCAGCAGATAGAACAAGCGATCACGCCAGCTTATCATTTTTAGCCAAGCAGGTATATCCAGTCCAGCAATTGAAAAATATTAGGCCGTATTCTGTGACGCCAAAAGTCGCTTAGAAAACGAGTTTCGTTGCACCCATTCGGGAACTACTTTTAGTTTACATGCATGAATCTATATATTTTGATACGCTGAGTACGAATTCACTTGTTGTCACTCGCACAGACCCGCAGTTTTTTTTAAATTTTACGATCAAATATCAACATTTTTTATGAAAATTACCGCCATTTTGTTCAGGAAACTTCATGTTATAATACTGTTATTGTACTAGTTTAAGTCTCTTAGCAGGGGGGTTGCACGCGGTATTATGCAGTTTGCTGTCATTCGTCTGAGAAAAATATACAAAAATAAAATAAAAATATAGATATTTTTCCACAATATAAATGCAAAAGGTACTGCTACATGTTTGTAAATAATTAGGAATTAATCTATTATTCATTATTGCACCAACTTTCAGTTTTTTGGCTCACCATGATGTGAAATTGCAAAGACTGTCACAATATCCATAAAGACCCTCACTTGTCATTGATAAAGTTGTTCATTTTATTTATTACTGAAATTATGTACATAAATTTAGCCTTGCAATGTGAATAGGTAATTTTCCTGGATATTGTCTACCTGAAATTTTTGTCAACAATAACGTTTTGAAGGTTTTATCCCTCAGAGAGATTTCAAAAGAAATTTTAACTTTGAAATCTTCTAATGGGGTGTTTATATATGGAGGTGAGCCAGCCCAGGTACCCGAGCTAGATCTCTTTACTGAGCTGATTTTATCCCATGTTTACACAAGACTTTTGTGGTGGGCTGTCTTGCCAAAACAAATCATTGATCTCACCACTATAAATAGTATAATATAAATATATTTTTATTTCTCAAGATCTCACCTAGGCAGGCCAGCTCGGTTCCCATATAAACTGCATGACAAGATAAATATTAGTATAAATTACATAGCGATGTTAGATCTCGGCAAAGCGACCTAGCTCAGGTATCTGGGCTGTATTTAATATTTTTACGCATTTAAACCTCAAATGGCTATTGATAATTTTTACATGATTTTTAAACATTAAAATGTTTCTAGGTATCATGACTTTGAGATTTGCTTGTGTGAATATAGTTTTTTACTTAGTTGCTTTGTTCCAGCAAGCCCATGATTGTCTCAACAGTTTCACATAAATTGAGAATCCAAGCTAGGTTGTTATATGGTACTGTAATCAATTGGGGCTATGTCCTGTGCAGCCACCATTTGCTAAGGTAAATACTTAAATGGCGCTAGCAATAAAGTGATTAAAGAGATATGGCTAATCTAGGTTGGGTTAACTCCATATAAACAGACCAAAATTAGGCTGTCAGTCTGTCGTAGAGTGAAAGACATCTTCCAAAAGTTTTTATTTATAAAGCTCAATGTCCCATAGCAAAAATTTTATTATAATACTGTTAATACAAGAAAATGGAACTAATTATATGTGCAGATTTATTAAATAGATGAGCTAATTTTATTGAGGTTAACTGCTACTAATGGGCAATGTTCTATTTGTGTTAAATTATCTAAGTGACCAGCAGTGGCGTAACTACTATGGGCTCAGACCGGGAGAACCCGGGGGCCCTAACCTAAATGGGGGCCCCCAGGCTTAGGCGATAGAGCAAAAACATTAGTCAGGGCCTCTGATATGTTATAATGTCGTTTTATGACCATCAGAATTCTGTAAAATCTC